GCATATGATGTCACTTGATACTTTATTTTTATTTTTGCCAAGCACTGGAATATAAGGAAGGTTCTTCAAGTAGGCTGAGGGTCACCGTAGAGTAGCAGAACCTTCCTCCTCATCCTGGTAATTGGTGGAAATAGCAACAGAGTTGGGCAGACCAGGATGGATGAAGTCCTAATTGATGGAATAAGATGTACCATCAGATCCCAGGAATCCTCAGTTCTGAGCCCAGCATAGCCACAACAATGCAAGGGTGAGCGAAGGGACCCATGAAGGTGTATTGTAGATGGGTCACAAAAAAGATATATCATTGTAGTGATGGAGGGTGAAGTTGGTGTCTCAAGACAGTTGGTGATCAGACAGGCTGGAATTTTTCATTTTGGCCAGTGTAACCCCTGGTTCACATATCCGCGGTCCATGTTTTGCACGGGCACGAGAGCCCATTCATTTTAATGGACTCCCGTGCCCCAGGACACGCAGGGAAGAAGTCCCTGCACTTCTTCTGAAAAACGCAGCCCGCACAGGAACCTCGGTTCCCAGTACGGTTGCGATTTCCATTGCAGGCGGTGTGCCATTAGGATTAATGGCACCTGCCCGTGGGTCCGCATTCCTCTGTGTGGGTGGTGCGGCTGCACAGATATTTGTGCGGATCTGCAGCGGCACCACCCGCACACATGTGAACCTAGCCTAACTGTGGTATACATGTTCGCAAATGTCCATATTTGTTCATCCGCGGCCATTCTTCTTCCAGAGTATGTGTGGTCATGTTTTACACATACAGTATGTGAAGGGGGGGAAAATAAAGCTGGCCATGCACATTATATATATATTTTTTTTTTTTTCAACCCACTTTCTGAACATTTCTTCATCTGCATGAAGAAGGTAGATGGAGGAATCTCCCCCACCAGAACATTGTATTCTAAGGCTTCTTTCAGACCAGCATTCTGATCAGGTTTGCCTGTCAGTTTTTCAGGTGGACTCTGATCGGAAGGTCCGTTTCATCCTTATGGACAGGCAGGTGTGAACGGACTTGTATCTGTTTACACCCACTTACCTCCAGGTATAACCAGGCCCACTACAAAAACCTGGGAGAGGGCTCCATTCTTTTCTGTTTAGGTGAAACGGATCAGAGGTAGCTAGTTGTCAATGGACAGTGGAGTTCATTGACTGTAGGCTACCTATAGAGCAGAGTGGGCTCTGTCTGTGTCCGCTCTGCTCCGATCAACAGGGGATCAGCTCACAGATCCCCTGCTGATCACCCACCTACTGCTGTCTGAATACACTGATCAATGGAAAATGTTCCAGCATGTTTCTTCAACAGAAGTTAATCAATTGACTTCTATTACCCCGGTTCACATATATGCGGCTGTGAGGGCCGCATTTTGCATGAACACGAGAGCTCATTTGCTTGAATGGACTCCCGTGCCCGTGACACACAGGAAAGAAGTCCCTGCACTTCTTTGGAAAACACAGCCTGCACCGGAACCTCGATTCCCAGTACTGTTGCGTTTTCCAGTGCTGGCAGCGTGCCATTACAACTAATGGCACCCACCCGCGGGTCCGCAGTCCTCTGTGTGGGTAGTGCGGCTGCACAGATTTTCGTGCGGATCCGCAGTGGCACCACCCGCACAGATGTGAACTTAGGGTTAAGCAAAGGAGCCCACACACTGATTGACGTTTGGTTGGTCCCTGCTAAACCAGCTGAATTTTGATCATTGTATGGCCAGGTTTACATTGGTCTGTGCTTTGAAGCTGAACTCAGGGAAAATCGAGTTAATATCCCTTCACTGTGTATAATGATCCCGACGGACCACCCACAGCCCAGAGCTTGAGGGAAAACACTGAAGTGTGTTGGAGCGGCAAAGTGTAGGGTGATTATTACACCATACCCCTGCACCTCTAGACTAAATGAGCCTTTTGGCCTTGCTGGAGTTCCGTTTTAGGCCTCTTCTAAGTGGACTGCTTCTGAAATGATTAACATATATCTAAAGCCTGATTTTTTTTTTTTTTTTTTTTTTTTTTTTTTTTTGGATAGCGTAGGAAGTGGTCAAAATAATGACACAATAGGAAGTGAGCGAAAACCCAGTGTAAGGGAAATTCCCTCTTGGATATTTGTCAGTGGAACAATTGTCCCTACTGGAAATTACCCTTTCATTCCTCTTCTGATGATAATGTTTAAAATTTTTGCATTATCCATCACATTTGGTATGAAGATGATGGCAGCGCCGATGACCTCTTACTTGTGAATGTAGGGATCAGTACACGACTGTCCAGGCACAGGCTATGTTATTACGTTGTTCTGCTACTCAAGGTGCTTAGCTGGTGTAGGTCAGAAGGTGATTTGCTTAATCACATTTTGTCCCCCCCCCCCCCCCCCCCCCCCCCCCCCCCCCTTTTCCCCTGATCTTTTTTGTGGCTAGTTTTATTTTTTAGCTTGCTTTGCAGAACTTTGGTTGTCAGAGCATTAGACGTTTATTTGTTCCAATCCAATGACTCACCCTGAGCTGTTGTAAATCCAAGGCCAGTGTCCCCAGGCACTCTATCTGAAGCACATTCTATTGATAAGTAACATTCTGTCCTGGTTCATGGAAGGTGGACACGCTTCTTTACTAGTGATTTTCACTGGTGCTTCTATTAGATGTATTGACCCTTCTTTGACTGCATTTATCAACTTTAAAGCGGAGTTCCAGTCATTTTTGTGTTTATTAAACATCAGCAGCTACAAAAACTGTATTTGCTGACTTTTAATAAACGCACACTCGCCTGTCCCAGGGTCCAGTGATGTTCTCACCCGCGCCATCCTTCTCTTCTCCCTGGCGCCAGCATCTGAGTTGTGGGCACCAGGCTCTGACAGCTTGCGGCTTCACATTTAGATGCCCACTGCGCATGCGCGAGTCTCACTGCGCATCCTGATTGGTCCGGCAGTTTTGTGGGACAGAGTCCCATAAGACTGTGAGAGGCAGGAGGGGGCTGAACTTCTGGCTCACTTCGCAGCGGCGAACTGATTCGGAAGTGGGAGCGGGTACCTGTCAAAACCAGATACCTGCTTCCCCCCCTCCCCCCAAAAAAGTACCAAATATGGCAGTGGAGGAGGTAAACGAGCAGAGCTTCCACTTTTGGGTGGAACTTCACTGTAAAAAAAAAAAAAAAAAATGTGCTTGCATCATCATACGCTTTTACTTTAGATTCACTTGAGGATTTTGAAAGGCGTGTGTGGTGGTTTTTTTTTTTTTTTTTTTTTTTTTAATCCTCAACGCCAGTCACGTGATGTGCAGGTCTTCTTCCTATCTTCTCCTGTTGGTTGGTGGTCATGGATGATGCAGAAAGCCCAACTGACGTGATGATAGTACTAGTATCTTCATCATGATATTGTAAACTAAAGCTGGACATGGACCCCCCCTAGGGTCAGACCCATGACTCCTTGTGCTTGGTTTCTCCTCAGTCTTTCAGGTTGAGCAACATTAGGTGTGGAACTGTAACAAGACAGAGGCACCACCATCTAAGTGTAGCATACCAGCAGAGACAACAAGCATTGCAGGGTGAACCTAGTGGACACTGACAGCAAGTAAGTTTCACTGATCTCGGCACCCAACACTGCCACTGATTCCAATCACCAGCACTGCCACTCAACCCATTTCCTCCCTTCCCTTCCTGCCACTGATCCCTTTTTCCCCCCCCAACACTGCTGCCACTGATCCCATCCACCCCCAGCACTGTTACTCAGTCCATCCCCCCCTCAGCACTGCCACTCATCCTGGGGCATACATGCAGGGGTTTCAGTTGCGACCTGGCCCCATGCTCCACGGGGCCTCATGCAGCCCCTGTACACCTGAATAGGAGGGGCAGCATATAGAGGAATTAATCCACTCCAGGAGAGGATTGGTTCCTCTGTGCCACTCCCTCATCCACCTCCTGCTGCCCCGGGCTCCTATATACTCTCTTGATCCCCCCTCAGTGGTACAGAGTCCCCCCCCCCCCCCCCTCTCCCGCCGGCTGCTGAGGGGAATCTGTCAAGGTGGAGAGAGAGGGGAAGGGGCCAGTAAATGTATCATGTACTTGCCCCTTCCTTGTCTTAATGATGAGAGTCACTGATCCGAACCGATCGCTGACTCTGTCCATTCATAACTGAGGCATAGTAAACTGTTTACTATGCTTCAGTTTGTGCATGAACAGGAAGCGCTGTACAGAGCTATTCTTGTCCATTCATTCTGCGCTGCTAAGGCTACGGAGGTGGAGATTGAGGGTTGTGTCCATAATTTCCTTTCTTTGTCTGAAAGGTGAAACATCACAAGTCTAGGTTTAGACCCCCTAACATTTCACCAAAGCCCCCAGATGGGGCTCCTAAAAAATTGTAAAAAAAAAAAATCTCAAATAATATAAAATGGTAAATATTAACCGCCTCTGGTCCAGACCATTACTTCTCTGCACTGCAGCCAAAGCAACACCTCTTTGATTGTCATTTATGTTGTCTTAAAATCAGTAACATCTGTTTAGTAAATTCGCAGCTCTGTGCAGGACGGTAAAGGCTGATTGGCTTTGGCTAGCCATACAACTTTAGATTCCTCTCGTTCAGCTTGTGGGCTGTATGAGAGAGAATCCATAATTACCTTCATCCATCCATGCTAGACATTGTGGATGAAGGGGTCTCCATTGCTGGCTATTGTATTCAGAAAGCTGTAGCACCCGTGGCTGTCCATAAATTCCAAACTGAGCCTACATCTGATAGGATGCAGCCACTGTTTGGACAATAATTTTCTGCTTGACTATGATTAATTTTTTTTTTTAATTCACATTTTGTTAAGTCAGGTGGTGCCGAAAACGGTTATCAGTGGCTTTAATTTTAACCATCTTGGCAGGAATTTGACCGAACTTTGAATCTTGTATGGCTAGTGTTACAAGGCTAGCCCTTCCTCTTCAGCTGTGAATGGGATACAAGATAAAAGGATAGATTGAGGTACCATTTCAGTGTATTTAATACTTAGTGTTTACTAAACCCAGGCCCCTGCATTTACGATATCTGGTCTCCCACAGTACACAGAACATGGAAGTGCAATTATTTTAGTAAATATAAACTGCTAAATACCTTTTCTCTTCAGAAGTTAGAGCAGTCTTGTGACTTCTATCAGTGTTCAGCCAAGCACTAGCTAAAGCTTGTAGAAGGTGTTTCCTTTCTGCTCTAGGAGGAAGCAGAACCCCTGACCTCTGTCTGGACAGTGCTGATTGGCCCTGTGCTGCTTTCATGCACTCTCCCAAGAGAAAAAAAAAACTTCTAGCAGTACACACCAAATTGAGCATGTGAAAAATGCCTACAGTTCAGTCTGTCTTATGAGGAGATAAGAGGTGGTCACTTAAACAATGAGAGGAACAGAGAAGTCAGGATCAAATGACCTTTTTACACAATGCAGCGGATTAACCCCTTAGGTCCCACAGTGAGTATAACAAGCATGCTTTACTGCATATACAGACTGATTTTACTGTTGTGGGCTTAGTAACACTTTAACTATGTTCTGGGCTAGTGAGTCTCTGACTCGGGACAAGCATCTTAAATGAGAACTCACACTTTCCAGACTAAAGTGGCTGCAGGCTTTTGATATTCTTCCATGCAAATCTCTCTTGTGGTTGCTAAGTGCAGAAGTGGGCATTATCAGTGGTATAAATGATGTGTTGATTTGCTTTCATGCAGCCGTACTTAACAGAGATGGTGTCCCCTGTGAGTATAGATCACTCCGAGCAGCTAGCAGTGTTGGAAGACTGGAAAGGGTCAGAATGACTCAAAAAAGAGAGAATAAAAAGGCGGAAAGGAAACTAATTGAAAATAATTTGGAAAATGAAGAATTCACAGCAAGCACGTTTTAAAGCGAATGTGAAAAAGGAAGTTCGACTACTATGAGATAACGGTGATTCTGCGTAAAAATATATAACTCTGCATCTTTGTTTTCCCTTCTGTGCCATGAAAATAAATGCCAGATCACCTGCTAATATTCTCACCTTTCCTGCTGCTTTTGCCACCAAATAACCCAATTGCTCTGCACTGAAGTGTGGTTTGGTGGCTAAGGCAGCATGAAAGGTAAGTAGTTTCCTCTTTGCAGGTAAACCTTTTAGTTCTGACATTTTATTTTTGCTGCAACATTATGCATTTTAGTGTGCATGGAAAAAGTTGCGTTAGCAGATGCATGGGGGTGCCTTTAGGAGAGGGTGTTTCTGTGTGTGTTGGGAAAGGTACATGTTCCCGATCTGTACTAGTGTGAACCTACCTTTTAGTAAGATTAGTAAAACTGCCATTCCCTTTTTTTCCCCAGTTTACTAAAATATAGGATAATGAATCACAGAGTGCAAGTATATATTGATAATTATGGCTAGAAACTCTCGAATAGGAAGGTGTGTGTGCTATGTTTTTATAAAATTATAAATCTATAAATTAAAAAAAAAATAGCGCATTTATAAAGTATTTAGGCCCCCTTCACTTTTACAATTTTGTAATGTTGCAGCCTGATACTACAGTTGTTTAGATTCATATTTTTCTCATTAATCTACACTCAGTTTCCCATAATGACAAAGTGAAAACAGAATTTTAGAAATGTTTGCAAATGTATGAAAACGGAAAACTGAAAACGCACAACTTGATTGGAGCCCACCTGTGGTAAATTAAATTGATTGGACATGATTTGGAAAGGCACACACCTCTCTAATGCAGGCCATAGATGGTTCGTTTATTGGCCGTTTTTTTTTTTTTTTGTCTGAAAGAATAATCGGACGATTTTCGCACTGTTAGTGGGGCAATGGCATTGGCCGATTTTCTCGGTTCCTCCTCATTTCGTTTATCGGTCATGCTGGAAAATTTCTGAAAACCAGACGATTTTTGCAATCATTGGTGGCAACATCGGTTTACAGAACGAACGATGTTTCATTTTTCGGATGAAAAATCGGCCGATAAACGAACTGTCTATGGCCTGCATAAGGCTAGGTTCACATATGTGCAGGTGGTGCTGCTGTGAATCCGCACAAACATCTGTGCAGCTGCACCACCTACACAGAAGAATGTGGACCCGCAGGCGGGTGCTTTTAATTCTAATGGCACGCCGCCCGCACTGGCTGCGGTTTCCAAAGAAGCGCGGGAACTTCTTCCCTGTGTGTCCCAGGGCACAGGAGTCCATTCAGATGAATGGGTTCTCGTGCCAGCGCAAAACGTGGGCCGTAGGAACGCATATATGTGAACCAGGGCTACATCCTCCTGCACACTGGACATTTTGATAATGCTGGTAATGTTAGCTGTGGAAAGTCATGTTAAAAACGTGAGGTTTTTCAGATTTTCAGCGTTTTTGCTTTGGCGTTTAGGTGCGTTTTCCTGTGTTTTGCATTTTTTAGCATTTTTTTTTTTACCAAAAAACCATCCAGGAACGCCGGTTTACAGCTAAAAAACTCTAGAAACCCACTAGCCCTGGGGTTTTTTCCAGCCAAAAAACATCCCAGCCAAAAAACATTGATTACATTCTGTGTGCATGGACACATAGGGTAACATGCTGGGGGGTTTACTAGCTGTAGAAAAAAAGTCAAAAGCCAAAAACGGCAGCTGTAAAAACATCAAGTGTGCATGAGGACTAAAAAGGCCTCGCTGCTGACAATTCATACTTTATCAGAGCCAAAGCCATGAGGTCAAAGAAATTGCCTGCAGAGCTCAGAGACAGGATTACTGCAAGGCACAGATCTGGGGAAGGGTACAAAAACTTTTTTGCTGCACTGAAGGTTCCCAGGAGCACAGTGGCCTCCATAATTCTCAAATGGAAGACGTTTGACACAACCAGGATTCTTCTAAGAGCTGGTCGCCCAGCCAAACTGAGCAATTGGGGGAGAAGGACCTTAGTAAGAGAAGTGACCAAGAACCCAATGGCTATGACTCGATGGCTATTTCAAATACATTGATGACTATTTTTCACAATTTTCATACAAATGAAACTTCTACTGTTGTAGCCAGTTTAAATATTTCACAGCAGTAGTTCCACAAAGGGGAGGGGGGTCTTTACAAGACGTTTTCATTCATTCATTTATTTCAGGTACTTGTATAGCGCCGTCCATTTACGCAGCACTTTACATACATATTGTACATTCACATCAGTCCCTAATCCTCAAGGGGTGTACAATCTAAGGTCCCTAACTTACATTCATACACACACATACTAGGGCCAATTTAGACAGGATCCAATTAACCTACCAGCATGTCTTTGGAGTGTGGGAAGAAACCGGTGTACCCAGAAGAAACCCACGCAGGCACAGGGAGAACATGCAAACTCCAGGCAGGAGGTGCCGTGGCTGGGTTTTGAACCAACGACCCTAGTACTGCCTGGTGGAAATGCTAACCATTTAGCCACTGTGCTGCCCATCCCCATTCATTTCATTCTTTATAATTGAATCTGTCGTACCCTACTGGAAAAATTTATAATTTTGCATAATGCAACAAAGAATGTTTTGACTGGATACACTGAAAATTTAAAATTTTACTAGCAACATAGGTGATGAATAAACTATTTTGCCTTACTGGTTTTAAATATCAAGGTCTGTCTAAATGCTACCACAAGTATGATCTACCTACATTTTGGCAATATGACTGTTACTATATAGTCTTGGGCTGGAACTTGTACATAAACCTGCCCCCAATTGCTGTTTCACCTGTTCAAGACTCATATTTTCCAAATTTTTAGGACTTGCTGGCCGCTAAATATTGACACGTGGTCAGTTGGTTAAAATGAGATTCTCTTCCTAGTGCAGTATTCACTTTGGTCTTTGGATTGCTAGTGGCTCTTTGGCACGTGTCAGGTGTTTGCTAAATCATTTCTATATTGTGTTTGTGGGACAGGATCTCAGTGGTTAGAGTTGGTTGATGGAACATTTCTGGAAATGTAGTTGAATCCCCAGCTCCACCTGTCATCTGTGGCCATTATACGGGCCCATGCACGTTAGGGGTGGAAAAAAAAAAATGCTCATGGTGGCTCATATTGCACAAGAGTTTGAGCGTTTATGGGCATTTTGCTTTTTATAAGGGTTTTTCTCCAAAAGATTCCCCTCGAAAATGGCAAATGTTCTTAAATGCCTCATTTAAGCGTGTTTGAATGTTAAGCTTCTCTAAAAAAAAAACAAAAAAAAAAAACATGATGCTGAAGGTTGTGTTTTTGTTTTTTTATTTATTTTTTGCATCTAAATGCTCTTCTGAAAATATGCTTGTAGACGCCCTAATGTGCTTGGACACGTAGGCTAACATAGAGCTGCTTCTACAAGCTGGAGAAAACAGTGCAAAATGCCTGTATCAGCAGCATGGACTCTTAGGGAAGTTGAAGTCTTGCTGTACCATTTGCAATTTATTTTCTGCTTTAGAGAAGTGAGACTTTATACTGGGAGACCTGTGCTAAATCCTAGTCCAGAGATCTCATTGCATGAGTCTGTAAAAGGACCAATGGGGGTGTTCAGCAGGCATGCGTCCTTCTTTATAACTGGCTTTGTGGATTTATGTGCACTGTCCCTTTAAATTGTCAATGGCATACACAGCCTGACTCTGACATCTGTTGTAACCTTCACCTCTCCATCTGGTTGTTACCAGTGCTCTGCTGCTGGAAAAGTTGTTTGTCAGGTTCTCCTAGGCATGGTGTAGCATGTGTACTTAGAATGCAAATATCTGTGCCCAGGTGTGTTCTCAAGTACAAAGATCCTCTTAATGATGACTACTGACAATGGAATTTCCATGCCAAACAGATTCTAAAGAAAGTATGACAGTAAATACTGATACTGTAAATATCGGGTGTACTTGGACAGGAATTTAATGTGCAGTGTTGATGAACTACTGACTTATTATTATTATTCAGGATTTATATAGCCATGCTGTAGGTGCAGATGTCTTGTACTGCATTTAAAAATGAAGTTTTCGGTCTTTTGCCATACGATGACAGCCCATTGTCAATGAACCTACCTCAATAGACTGGCCTGGTGTGAAGGGGACCTTAATGTGTGTGCAGCAAAGACATGTTTCTACCCGAATGTTAAAGTGCTATTTAAAGGCAATTAAAAATAAATAAATGACAAACATGTCATACTTACCTGCTCTGTGCAGTGGTTTTGCACCGAGCAGCCCCGATCCTCCTCTTTTTGGGTCCCCTGCTGGCTCTCCTGGCCCTTCCCTCCTGCCGAGTTCCCTCAGAGCAAGCAGCTTGCTACGGGGGCACCCAAGCAGGCTCGCTCCTGAGCGTCTATTCACACGCACAGCAGTGGTTTGGCCCCACACCCTCTTTCCTCATAGTCTTACTGACTGTGATCAACAGCAGCGGGAGCCAATGAGGAGGGAGAGTCCCCAGAGTCAAGGTACTCGTGCACATCGCTAAATCGTGATGGAGCTCAGGTGACTATTGGGGGGGGGGGGCTGCATACAGAACGTGTGGGGTTTTTTTTTGTCACATAGAATGCATGAAGGTAAAAACCTTGAGCCTTTAGAACCACTTTAAGCTTC